GTCCTCCATGGGCACTGCACGGCATGGGTGCACTTACCTACATGCAGGCATAGCACTCGTACACATAAAATAAAAATAATAAAAAAAAGATTTTTAGTTTTTACTTTTATCTATGTGTATGTGTGTGTCTTTGTGTGTGTCATATGTGTGCAGGCACTTATGGAGGCTAGAATAGCATGTCAGAGCCCCTGGAGCTGGAGTTACAGGCAGTTGTGAACGTGCTGGGCTCTGAACTAGCATCCTCTGGAAGAGAAGATAGTGTTCTTAACTACTGAGTCATCCCTCTAGTCCCCCCTCCTTTAAAGTTGGGTTTTAGTTTTTTTTTTTTTTTAATATTTGAGTTGTAAGGACTCTTTACATATTCTGGATATATGCTCTTTACATATGGTTTGCAAACACTCCCATTCTATGGGTTATTTTTTCATTTTCTTCATGTTATTATTTGAAGAACAGAAGTTTTTAATTGTCATGAAGCCCAGCCTATTTTTAACTGTTCTTTTGTGTTTTGAAATTGTATATAAAACAACTTTGCCTAATGACAGGTTATGGAGATTTATTCTTCATTTTCTTACATTTTATGGTTTTAGCTCTTACATTTCTGTTTTTACCCATTTTGAATTAATTTTTGTATATAATATGAGGCATAAGTCTTATGTTATTATTTTGCACGTGGTCATTCAGTTTTTACGGCACCACTTGTTGAAAGGACTAAAATTTTGAATTAGAGAATGAGTCTCTTCTCATTAAAACCTTCCAAGACTTTCCATCTGTTAGATCATGGACCTGCTGCTTTAAGATGTAGTCACTCTAAGAGACCAGAAAAACCTGGCCATGCTCCCCTGAAGTCAGTCCTTTGAGACAAAGAACTGACAGGCCCCAATTGTGGCTGGAAAAGCAAGCCCAGCCCATACCCTTTGCAACTGCAAGATAAGTTTATGGTCCTACCTCTGTGCCTGTCTCTGTGCCGGGAGTTAAGACTAGGCGAGGCTGTCACATGGTACAATCCCTGAAAACTTCTATAAGTCAGCTCTTTGTTCAGGGGATTTAAAGGGATTCCTTCAGCAACCCCTCCACCCCTGTCATGTTATACATGATGGCTATCTCTCCTGAAGGTCCACTCTTCCCCTCAGCATCCTATCTCTCCTATGGCAGCTCTTCTCTGGGCTTAGGAGAAAAGGCTCTGTCTCTTCAAGGCCCTGTCACACTGTCTCTGGCATGATGTTGCATCTCTAAATGCTCTCCCAGTTCAAGGTCCAATCAACCAATCAGCACCCTCCCCCACCCCCACCCTGGTTGTGAGGCTCTCTCCTAATAATGCTCAGGCTTTAAAGCTTTAAAGGGTAATTTGTGTCATCTCCTTTCACAAACCTGATGTTCTTTCCTGTTCATTCTTTTCTTTTCTGTTTGTTGGTCTTTTTGAGACAGGGTCTCCCTATAGCCCCAGCTGGCCTGGAATTCACTATGTAGACCAGGCTGGCTTCGAACTCACAGGGATCCACCTGCCTCTGCCTCCCCAGTGCTGGGATTAAAGGCATGGGCCACCATGCCTGGCTCTCTTATTTTCTTTGTAGAATTAATATGTGTATGTATATTTATTACTTTGTTTACTTTTTCATTTTGAGTAATCTTTCTTTCTTCGTGTGTGTGTGTGTGTGTGTGTGTGTGTGTGTGTGTGTGTGTGTGTGTTTGAGTTAGGGTCTCCCTGTAGCCCCAGCTGGCCTGGCACTTGCTATGTAGACCAGGCTGGCCTGCCTCTGCCTCCCAACTGCTGGGACTAAAGGTGTGGGCCACTATACCTGGCTTATTTGTTTGTTTAAAATACAAAGTTTGACTATATAGTTTAGGCTGGCCTTAAACTTGCTCTGATCCCCCTGTCTGGCCCCAAAATGTTGTTGTAAGAAACATTAAATATCAGTCTTTTCTGTCAAACACTGTAAAACTTTCCTTTATGACAAGGAATTCAACTCTTTTAATCTCCTCACCTTATAAAATTTTTGTTTATACAAAGGCCCTGTTGTGTTCTTGGAACTTGATGGCCTGGTGTGTGTGACTCACCCCTTCTCCCTTTCTGCCTACCTCTTCCCCCTACCCCTTCTCCATTTCCTTCATTCCCTTTGCTGCAGTGATTCTTTTAAACTTAACCAATGGTTGGGGGCTGGAGAGATGGCTCTGTGGTTAAGTACATTGGTTGTTCTTGCAGAAGACCTGGGTTTGAATCCCAGCACCCATATGTCAGCTGTCTGTAACTCCAGTCCCAGGGGATCCGACACCCTCTTCTGACCTCTACTGGCATTGTACCACACTGGTGCATTTACCTACATGCAGGCAATACACAAATACACGTAAAATTAAAACAAACAAAAAACTAACCAACAGTGAAAGACTGAGGTCAGACTCCAGCCAATGGGGAAAAGACACAGTATTCTTGCATTAGGATAAAATCCTATCAAACTTATTTTGTAAAGTTTTGTCTTGTCCTGATGCTTTAATTGGAGTGGTGGTCTCTTTCTTTGTGACCCCCCCCAAACTTATTTCTAGCGTGATTTTAGGCTTGCATTACTATGCCCTATTTCCTTTCTTTTTCCTTTTTGACTAAAAACGTTTATTTTTAATTGTGTCTGTGTCTGGGTATGTATGAGTGTAAGTGCCCTGGACGCCAGAAGAGGGCATCATATCCTTTGGTGCTCGAGTTACAAGTGATTGTGAACTCTCCCAATGTGGCTGCTGGGTACTAAACTTGGGCCCTCTGCAAGAGGAGCAAGCCTTTTAACTGCTGAGTCATGGCTCCAGTCCCATCTTTAGTTTTTATTTTTTTGTGGTAGGGTTTTGATGTGTGGTCCAGGCTGGCCTGGAACTTGAGCTCTTCCAGGCACTGTCAGCTGAGCGCTGGGTACACGTCAGTGACAGGTTAGGTGGGCGGATTATAAAACCTGGGCCTTCACTGCAGGCTGCCCTAGAGTCTTTTCAGAAATAAGATTTTACATTTGGAGGAACTGTAGAAGTCTCCTAAATAATAATTCGCATTTTACAGATGTAAAATAAAAGTTTAAAGAAAGTAAAAGGAGAGCACCTAGCTCTGGTACCGAGAGGTCTAATTTCCAAGACAGCTTCATTTTCATTTTCAAGACTTATTTATTTTACTCCAAGATCATGCTTTAAAAAAAAATTCCAAAATGACTGAATCGAACACGCGTTTTTTTTCTTTGTTTTGTAACTTTATTTTTTAAAACTCCCTTAAACATTCATGGAATGGGGCTCCAAAGAGAAGTAGAGGTCTTGGTTAAGGAGGTCTTGGTTAAGAAGGTCCAAATCACATTCACAAGTCAGCCTCACTTTTGTTTCTGCCGCCTTCACTGCGCCTCTTCCCTGTGGTTTCGCCCTTCAGCTCCTCCCTTCTCTGGTTACTGCCTCCTTTCGGGCTCAGCTGTCCCAATCAAAGATGGCGCCACAGGCTTCAGCTCTAGGGGAAATGAGCTCACGCTACTCCGGAAGGGAAGGCCGGCAGAGCTAGCAGGCGGGTGGGTGTCCGGCTGTGGGTGGGGCGGCGGCCTCAGTACTGGTATTTACATTTGGGGGTGTCGAGGGCGCGAGGGGCTCGTCATCTCCGCGGAAATCGGTCGAGCATCAGACCGGGGGCCTCGAAGACCGCCCGGAGCCGCTCACTTCTAGCCCAAGCCCGGCGGCCCCGGAGCTCGTAGTCCTCCCAGCGGCGTCTGCCCCGACCTCTTCGCGGGCTCCGCGCGCCGCCCGGGCTCAGGCTTGGAGCCGTGGTGGGAATCGCCGAGCTGGCTGGGTGGGCCTCTTCTGAAGATCGGGCCGAGGACTAGAGAGAGCGCGGCGGGCCGGGCCCCGAGCCCCGAGGTCAGGCCGCCGGCTCCCGGGCCGTGGATCCCGTCCCTGCCCAGCCTTCCCAGCTGGGGACCAGCGACCTCGCTCGCGCCGCTCGCCGCCCCCCGGAGTGTGGCCCTAAGCCCTCTAGCTGGGTGTTTTGCCCTCCTTGCTCCTGCGTAGAGGGGAAGAGACCGCTGAAGGGTACCTGTTTTCCATCCTGCCCTCTTCAAAGTTTCAGCCAGTGGGGATGCCTGTCCTCCTTTTTTGGACCCTTGACAGTTTCCACTCTAGTTGTAGTTTGGTTTAGCAATAGAGATCACATTCAGATTTTAAAAAGGGGGGAGGTTGGGGAGTACCTCCAAAATTCCTCTCCAGTCGGTCTCTTGTCCCGCCCGGGAAGGGCAGATGAACTTTGGAGTTAAGATGCAAGGAGGCGAGTCGGCGCCGGCCGTGAAGGTCTCGGAGAGTGAGGGAAAGCTGGAGGGCCTGGCCCCAGCGGTGATCCCCAGCAGGAACGGCGGCAACAGCACCTGCGGAGGTGGGGCGGGCAGCAGCGGTAGTAGCAGCAGCAGCAGCAGCCGCGGTAGCAGTGCGAAAGCTTGGCAGTACAGGTATGGTCCCTCAAAGTGACATCCTGGGGTGGATGTGAATCTGCTGGGGTCCGAAACGCAGCTTCCAGAGCCGCTGATATATCCGATTTGGACCAGGAACCTTAACTTTGATCCGCAGGATTCACTTCATTCAGAAGTTCATTCAACAGGTGTTTATTGAGGCCTTTTGAGGAATTCAGAAATGTACCCCAGAACTTCCTCTATAACCCGAGTTAATTCTTCCTCTGATTTATTTCTGTCCTCATTTTCTGGTTTTGCCTTGTTGAAATTTGTTTACAAGTCTGAACGACCACAACAGCAGGAACTGAAGTCAGCAATTTCGGCAGCTAGCAGATACTACACGCTCAAAACTTGTGGAATGATTGCAGAGAAGATTCTTACCCTTTGGGTGTTTGTGACTTAGAATGGGGGAAGGGACATAAATACTTTGAACACAGGGACAAAGGTAACAGAATACAAAGCCTCTGATAACTCTAGATCAGGCCCTGGGTGTGTTTCAATTTGAGTTGGTCAGGCCACTTGAATACACTTGTCTTGAAGAGAATTCTGCATTTGTTAATTTTCACTAATATGAATGCAAAATTTAAGGAACAAAAGTTCCTGGAGAAGCAGCAAAGGTTTATTTTGTTTTTTTATAAGTAAAGTATAGGGGGAAATTACTATCCATAATTTTAAGAATGAATGAAATCAGGGCTTCCTATAGTTTTGGAATTATGAAGATGACTTCTTAAATTTTGGTTAATTGCCTGTGTGTTTAACTCTAGCCTTTTTTTTTTATTTTTAAAGCTCTTGAGCTGTTTGTACTTGTGAAATGTATGTGCAACTTGGAAGAAGTTAAAGCCAAGGTTTTGTGAAAGATACTTATCAATAATGTCCATATATCCATATATGTGAAGTATGCGTGTATTAACAATATGAAATTATGTATATGTGAAACGTGCATGATATTAACTTACAGAAATGAGTTGAAGAAGGTAACTTTTTAATTGGCAAGTGACTATTGGAATAGAATTAAAGTCAGCATGATATTCTCTTTCTGTGGTTTAAGACTAACCATAAGATAATTCCTTTGTAGGGATATTTTGGCATGATTTAAGGAAGTAAGGTGAAGTTCAAGGCAGAGTCAGATTTCTCTTAGTTTTTTCTGTTGGTTGTTTTTGGTTTTTGAGACGGGGACTCCCAGTCCTGGCTGGCCTGGAGCTCACTAGTAGACCAGGTTGGTTTTGAACTCAGAGATCTGCCTGCTTCTGTCTCCCTGGTGCTGGGATTAAAAGCATGTGCCACTATATCTGGCAAAGTTTTTGATAGTTTTTATTCTGAAACCTAGTCTGAATTAAAGTAGAATGGAATAGATTTCTTAGCACTGGAGAGGCTTGATCTTAAAGCCATGGATTTTTGTTGTTGTTGTTTTGAGATGGAGTCTCCCAGCTGGCCTGGAACTTACTATGTAGATCAGGCTGGCTTCCCATCCAGGGTGCTTGGATTAAAGGTGTGCTCTACCACACCTGGCTTAAAGCCACACATTTTTCTTAGGTACTTTTCATTCAGAGCCTTGTTGTCCCAAGTCTAAGCTACTAGTTAATGGTTTTGTAATTTTCAAAAATAGACTATTGGAATCACAAATGAGGAAAAGTTTTTAGGGAAAATTCCAGCTCGCAATACAAGACAGTCTAAAGAATATTTGAAAGGCTAACATATAAACTCAGCTGTCCTAATGCAGACCATAGTCAGAATGACAGTAAGTTTTCCAGGAAAGCCCACTCTGTTTAAGTAGGCAGTGTGAATGTAAAGAAAATAGCTTAAAAGAAAGCTTATTTATGCCTGGAAAACTAAGTTCTGTAGAGTTCTTCCCCAAGAGTGAGGTTAAGTGTTCCCATCCTGAATTTAGTGAGGCTTGTCCACCTAGATGTTTGATTTGTTCCTTTGTCCTAACATGTAGTCATTTTCTCCTTTGCCCTGTGTGGTTTCCTTTTCACTTTTTAAAGATGTTACAAACAGAATAATAATTCTAAAAACTAACCTAATCCTCTGCTTTTAAAAGCAATTTATACTTACTACCTCTTGTTTATTTAGCAATCCATAGCAGCTTGCTCTCTTTCTCATTTTTTTGGTCCTTTTGAGACAGGGTCTCCCTGTAGCCCCAGCTGGCCTGGAACTCACTATGTAGACCAGGCTGGCCTTGAATTTACTGAGATCTCCTTGCCTTTGCCTCCCAAATGCTGGGATTAAAGGCATATACCACCACACCTGACTCAGTTTGCTCTCTTTACCAATGGATAATGAGTATTTGTAGGTTTTTATTCCGGCTGAGTTCCCTGTAAGTGTATCTGCTATTAGAATTCTATTTTTTAAAAATATTTTAACTATTTATTTTATTTTATGTGTATGTGTGTATTGCCTGCATGTAGGTAAGTGCACCTACATGCCCGTGGAAGACAGAAGAGGCTGTCGGATCCCCTGGAACTGGAGTTATGGACAGCTGTTAGCTGCCATGTGGGTGCTGGGATTCAAACCCGGGTCTTCTGCAAGAACAGTCAGTGTTCTTAACCGCTGAGCCATCTCTCCAGCCCTAGAATTCTATTTTTTAAAATTTTATTTTACATGTATGAGTGTATTGCTTGCGTGTATGTAAGTGCACATGAGCCATGCAGTGCCCCTAGAGGTCAGAAGAAGGCGTTGGATCCCCTGGAACTGGACTTATGGATTGTTGTTAGCTGTCATATGGGTACTGGGATTGGAACCTGGGTCCTCTATAAGAGCAGTTAGTTCTTTTTAAAAAATATTTTATTATTTTTATTTTATATGTATGAATGTATTGCCTGTATGTATGTAAGTGCACCTGCATCATGCAGTGCCTGTGGAGGTCAGAAGAGGGCATCGGATCTCCTGCAGCTGGAGTTATGGACCATTGTTAGCCGCCATGTGAGTGCTGGGATTTGAACCCAGGTCTTCTGTAAGAGCAGCCAGTGCTCTTAACTGCTGAACCATCTCTCTAGCTCCTGGCCAAAATTCTTACTCTTAGTTTTCCTTTGTATCAGTACTTATTTTCATGCTATTTTATACTTTGCTTTTCATATTTAACTTTTTAAATCTATTTGGGATTTATCTATGACTGTGTTGCAAATTACCCTAAAATTCAACAATTTAATGTACTAAAACACTATGTTTTGGAGAGAGCGCAGGGCAGGGCTCTTTGTTGCATAGGTTAGCCTAGAACTCCAGTTCTTTCTGCCTCCCAAGAAGTCTCCCAAGAAGCTGGGATTAAAAATGTGTTGCCACCACACCCCGCTAAGCAGCATTTATTATTTCACAGTGTGTATGGGTTCGGGTCAGGAATTTTGGTCTAGTTTAGCTATGTCTTGGCTCTGTGTTTTTCACAAGGTCATGGGCGAGGCCTGAGTGGAAGGATCTACTTATTAGCTCACTATGGGACTCATGGCATGATCTAGTTCCTCCCCCCTTATTGGATAAAGACCTCAGTTCGTCATGACTGATGGCAGAGTTCTTGGTGTTTCCTGGCCCACATGGTTCACTCTGTAGAGTGTCAGATAACTGGGCAGCTTGTTTCCTCAGAGGCAGGGATTGAAAAGGGAAATGAAGTCATAGTCTTCCTAAGCTAAATGTGGAAGAAGCATCACATTTTTTTCTATTAGAAACCAGTTGCACAGAGGGCATAAAGACCAGTAAGTAGAGATTATTGAATACTGAGCCAGAAAATGTCCACTATAATGAATAATGTAATGGAATCTAGATTATCACCTAATATTGAGATGTTTCTTTCTAAATGGCGAGGTTGAGATTGTTTGGTGTGATCACACAAATTTGATGTGATTGCTAGGGAATTAGAGGCATCTTGGTGCCAGGAAATGAGTAGTAGTGACCAGGACAACAATAAGGGAAAAGGCCATTAAATTCTGAAATGTCAAGAGGACAGATGAGTTTTGGGGAGTCATCTTATGAATGTAACTTTAGATATGTCCATCTTAATATACCGGGATGTTTACATGTCATACCCAGCTAGTCCTTAGTCCTTTCTTCCTTTCTTCCTTTCCTAATGACCCTAGTCTCACTGTATAGCCCTGGCTGGCCTAGAACTTTCTAGGCCAGCCTACCCTTGAACTCACAGAGATCCACTCATCTCTGCCTCCTGAGTGCTGGGGTTAAAGATGTGCACCACCACACCCAGCCTGTCTCTATTTTAAAGTGGAAGAAAATAAAAGTTGAAATGAGTTGGTCAGGATCCAGAAGCCTAGTAAGGGGAAGAATTTTTATTCATAGGCACTTATTTGCATAGAGGTATTAAAAATAAATGGGCTCTAAAGGAATGGATGATTGCTGATGATAACTGGTTTAATACATGATTGGTCTCATGATTTCTAGGGTTCTCATTCATATGACAAGTGTCTTTGGGCCTCTGTGGTATGTGAGTTACTTGATTCCAGGTTAATGTGCATACCCAGGAGGGTGAAAAGCCAGAAGAAACCAGGGCTTCATTTTGAGGATCTTCAAAAACATGAAAAGGAAGAGCCATAGCAGTATTTGTGGAGTACTTCATGACCTTAAAGCATGCACATGCTCACACACACGCACACACACAAAACACGTACACACAAGTTGGGGTTGAAGTCATTACATTGACCTTAAATTAAGAATCATTTACTTTCATCGGGTGTGGTGGTACATGCCTTTAGTCCCAGTACTAAATCAGAGGCAGGGGCATGTGGGATGTCTGTGAGCTCAAGGCCAGCCTGCTCTACATAGTGAGTTTCAGGCCAGCTGGGGCAACAGGGAAAACCTGTCTCAAAAGAAAAAAAAAAAAGAGTCATTTATATTTGTATGATATAGGCTTTGCTTACTATTTGTCTTAGTTTCTCCATTGCTGTGACAAAACACTCTGACCAATGCCAACTTGGGGAGGAAAGGGTTTATTTATCTTACATATCCTGGGTCACAATTCATCTGGGAGCCCAAGGTAGGAACTGAGGGCAGGAACCTGGAAG